TCATTAATATGGAAATGGAGAATCAATCGCTTTTCCGGCGACAGAGCGCTGTTTCCCTCTGCGGTGTGTAATGTGCTTTGACTGGTCAACAGCAAAAACAATCTCACACAATATACACACACCCTATACACAGCTATATAACCACAAATATATATATATGCAGTTTGCCCATCCATAAAAGTGTGTAAGAATAACATTTTCTAAACTGTATTTTACTATATGGTCATAACATCTGTTCATACGGAAAGTTCCAGCCCACTATTAGACAGTCACCAGAATGGCACCAGATGTTGCAGCATTAATAACCCATAATATCAAGTCCTGCTTATCCAACCTTTTCAGAGCCCTAAAATAACACTCATAGACCTTAATGAGATCTAATTATGCACAAGGTTCTTATTCAGGGCAATATGAGGATAATTGCATCGGCGGCTTTTAACACTTGGTCGCCATATTGGCCAGGAAATTGCTTCTATCTCCCTCTCCATCTGTCTGTCTCACTACATCTTTTCCTGTCTCACTACAGTCTACAGTGGGGAGTGAACTATCACACCTATCCACTCTGCTCTGCGACCTAATGAACATTTCTAAATGGCGATGACCACCTGGTTAAGAGACTAATGTAGCAGTTATTAGCCAAAGCGGTTGTTTCCACACAGAGTCATCTAAGAGAAACAGGAGAGAGAGAAAGAGAGAGAGCGAGAGAGGGGGGACAAGGACAGACAGGTTTGAACACCGTGCCTCCTCCACACACACAAACATACAGTACATACACACATAGCACTGCATGTTTATCTTTCACATTCTGCAGCAAACAAACCATGTGACGTATTCTCAACCCACAGTGCATTACTGCTTATTAGGGCCTCAAGGTGTGTGTGAGTGTATGTGAGTTTATGTGTGTGTGTGTGTGTGTGTCTTATTAGGAAAATTCAGTTTCACTCAAGGTCTCAGCACTGTGGTTGCAGACCACTGCCCATTGATTATTCATAGAGTCTGTGATTGGGTCCATTAATACAAGATTAGGGAAGGAACCGATGCTCATTTTGCGTGTGTGTGTTTGTGCATGTGTGTGTGTTTGCGGACAGGAGTTGAATTGCAATGAATCTACAGATTGTGATTATGTGCAGTCTATCAAAACAAAAACATATAGAGTGTATTTTGTTTGGGAGAAGGAGCACTTTAGAAGCTATGAAGGTGTGTATGTACTCATTAACAAAGGCACGTTAGTAAAAGTTAAAGATAGCATTAGATTTTAGGGGACAAAACAAAGGAATGTGCTGCCTTGGTTTAAAAATTAGCAATAAATGGGAATATTTTAACCTCCATCAGTCATTGCATACTCCAAGATTTCCACCTAATAGCATTTGTTCTTCAATTGAAACTTAATCTGAGTAAATGGTGCTTAAATGTTTAAATCACATTTACAGGCTGTCAACTGATGTGATGTTCTTCACATGGTCACCCTTTGTTTGAATGAAAATAAATTGACGGCAAATGAGAAAAGATTCTGCAAAACCGGTTGAGGCTACATATTGGATCATAGCTCCCCCAAGTGGACTTTTTGAGTCACTAACAGAGAAAGTCAGTTTGGGAAAAGCACACACATCACAGGAGCTCTCACAAGTGAAATAAATGGTTTCCAGAAAATCATCTTAGATTTCTGCCTAGGAAGAGGTGACTACTTTGCATTCATGACATAGACAGACTGGGCCCTCCTTTCGCTGTATTTCCTCGCAGACATTAAAGACAAACTGAGCAGGCCATACTATATAATTATTATCAGAATCATTAAATGTATTACTGAACACAAGGATGATGTTAAAATCTGACCTGGGAACCTTGAATATGTTTTTGTGTCTGAGAAACAAAAATGTAAAAATAAATACATTTGGAAAAAATCTTTGTTTGGGGCATATTAACTAAAATATATACATAACAGATGTGTTTGTTTTTAAGGTGAAAAGTCTAATGGTGAAGGGAGCAATGCAAGTTATGTTATAGAGGAAAAAAATCATGCATTCAAATTAGCACACTAGCTTTAAGAAAATTTAAATAGACGAGTTTCACACACAAAATATAAAATGTTAATACAAGTTATCAGGAGATGACCATGTTGATGCATTGTGTTTGTGTTATTATCAACAATAAATTATTTATCTATTAATATTTAAAGGAATATATAAATGCAATGTTCAAGGTGATGCAGTATTCAAATAAATGAAGTGAAGTAAAAGTACAACATTTCCTCTGAAAGGGACAGTAGGATAAAAACACATACGAATGTACCATTGGTACTTATGCCATAAAAGTTTACTGAGGCAAGTACTTGAGTAACTATACCAAACTCTGACAACAGGTTTACAAGTTATTTTAGGGAATGTAAAATCTTAAAGAGGTGCTTAGCTTAAAGAATTGTCATAAAAAGCCTGGAACCAACAAGTGTAATAGGAAAAAATGTATTTAGCAGATGTGTTAAAATAATTCTGTCGTGAACTGTATGACATTTAAAAGAATACTGTTTCAGGTTAACTGGCCTGTAAGCATCATGTGATTGAGGATGTTGCATGACCTTTGCTTTCTACAAGGATGACACTGCATGGATTTGCATGTTTAAAAGGAGACTTCATTCTGTCTGTCATTTGAGCTCCTCTGCAGTGTGGTCATCATGATACACTCTGCACAGTTTCTCCTTCCTGCAACTTCTTGTAGGAATAGAACCTCACAAAGATGATTGGCCACATGGGGGACCAAGCTCAGTGTTGTAAGCCCCCTGTTGGCCCATGCCTAGAACCGCCCATGCAAGGGACATAAGGTCGCCTACTCCAAAGCAGGTCAGATTATGGGTCAGTTTATTTTTTGGGCTATTTATATAGTGAAGCTGCAATGTGCACTACTTCATGGAAATTTAAAAGGATTTAACGTTTATAACAACCTGGTAAGACAGTGGGGACATTAAGGTTGTTTGTGAATTTAGGCCATTATACTACTCCTTCTAATATGCAAACTTGACCACGACTCAGGTGATAATCTTGTCATTCTCTGCAAATACTGTCTCAATTCTCAATTCCCCAAGTTAACTCATCATTCATTTGTACTGTATTAACTCCCTTTTTATTTTTATTTTTATTTTTATTTATCTTACCTATTCTGTTTAATGTGTATTTTTGAGCTTTCTTGTCTGTGCTGCTGCAACGCCCAAATTTCCCCTCTGGGGATCAAGAATATATTATCCTATCCTATACAGATTTTTTATATAATAATAATATAATAATAATAATAATAATAATAATAATAATAATAATGATAATAACTTTATTTATATAGCACTTGTCATTCTCTGCAAATACTGTCTCAATTCTCAATTCCCCCAAGTTAACTTCATCATTCATTTTGTACTGTATATACTCCCTGTTTTTATTTTTATTTTTATTTTTATTTATCTTACCTATTCTGTTTAATGTGTATTTTTGAGCTTTCTTGTCTGTGCTGCTGCAACGCCCAAATTTCCCCTCTGGGGATCAAGAATATATTATCCTATCCTATACAGATTTTTTTATAATAATAATAATAATAATAATAATAATAATAATAATAATAATAATAATGATAATAACTTTATTTATATAGCACCTTTTAAAAACACATGTTTACAAAGTGCTTTGACAAACAGCAAAAACGAGAACAAAGCAAACTAAACCAAACACAGAAGAACATGAACAACAGCAAGAGTATAACAGATGCAAAATACTAAAAATAATTAAATACAATTCAACAGAAAAGAACCCAAAGTGCACGATACCCAACAGACATATATAACCCGACCATCACAAGAACCATCATAAGAAACCAGGCAACACAAGAACCCAACAACAAGAGCTGAGACCAAGAGGACCAAAGATTTAAAAATATGTTAGAAAGTGTTCAGTTCATTCCTTTAAATAGGTCTATAAAAAATATCAGTCTACATCTTTACACTATGCTTTACATATCGTCCAAGACCATATGACAGATGGTCTTCTTCCCTCCCAGCATACTTGTGTTGTACCTGTGTCGATGTCTTATATGGAGGACGAGATCTGACAGAAGTATAAATAAATAAATGTATAAATAAATACTGGAATAAATAAATAAAAGAATGAATAACTAAATAAATAAATAATTAAATGCGTGAATAAATAAATAAAAACTGGTAAATAAATGGGACATAAATAATTAAATGTCTTAAATTTATTTCTACATTTATTTATTTCTACATGTATTTATTTCCACATATTTCTACATTTATTTATTTCCATATTTATTTATTTCAACATTTATTTATTTCCATATTTATTTATACATTTATTTATTTATACATTTATTTATTTCCATATTTATTTATTTCTACATGTATTTATTTCTACATGTATTTATTTCCACATTTATTTATTTATACATTTATTTATTTCCATATTTATTTATTTCTACATGTATTTATTTCTACATGTATTTATTTCCACATTTATTTATTTCTACATTTATTTATTTCCATATTTATTTATTTCTACATTTATTTATTTCCATATGTATTTATTTACACATGTATTTATTTACACATATATTTATTTATACATTTATTTATTTCCATATTTATTTATTTATACATTTATTTATTTATACATGTATTTATTTCCACATGTATTTATTTATACATTTATTTATTTCCATATTTATTTATTTATACATTTATTTATTTCCATATGTATTTATTTCTACATGTATTTATTTCCACATATATTTATTTCTACATTTATTTATTTCCTTATTTATTTATTTATACCTCCATTTCTTTATTTCTACATGTATTTATTTCCACATTTATTTATTTCTACATTTATTTATTTCTACATTTATTTATACTTGTGTCAGATCTGGTCCTCCGTATCTTGCTCTCCGCGGTGCTGAAACAGTGACGCAGGACGCTGCCGTTCATCACGCATCCACTCCTCCTGCCATCTTTTTGTGCTACACGGCAGGCTAACTGGCCAGGCGAGGGGTCTCCATCAGAAGGAGGCGGAGAAGCCTGCAAGCAGTAGAGAGAGAGAGAGAGAGACTGAACCTTCCCTGGAGAATCGGGAAGCTCTTCCACACAGGAAATAGTTATTAGAAAGGCTGTACAATGTCCGACTTTGACAGCAACCCGTTTGCAGACCCGGACTTCAGCAATCCCTTTCAGGTAGTTCACTAAGCCAGCTAGCTCGCTTCAAATCCCAAAGAGGCCAGTCTTTTTCATTAGCATCTCTTGCTAGCTAGAGGTTTTCTTGGTTAACGATTTGATAGCTGGACGAGCTAATCGTGATCCACATGGTTTATCTCCATCTTCGCACATAATACGGCTGCTTACTTATTCAAATGGCTTTTGGGGTGCGTTGTTGTTTTCAAACTTGTAACAACGATGATACAAACTCAGGACAAAGACACATGATGTTAGCTGGCTAGCTCTGCCCGACAGTAAACATTGGCACCTAGCGCCGGTTAAGATAGGTACATTATGTGCCAACAATTAATGCAAAGGGGATAAATATACTTCCTACTGAAGGCTGCTGTTGTCTCAGCAGAGCTCCAACTAAAAGGTGTTATTCTAACTCCACGTTACTTGCAATATTGACACTGAAATTGTAATTGAATTGTCTTTAATCATCCTAACTTAACCTCCTTAACCACCTTCATATAAGGCTTTAATAATAGTGTTTGACAGTGAAGATAACTTTGTGTGGTTCTTCAGTGTAATACTAGATATGTGTGTGCTCAGTACAATGTATTTCCCGTGGAAACTATCCTACCTTTTAGACAGTCTTTGCTGGTTTTCATTCAAAGCGAACACCTTCACAGGTGCAGGTTTGAATGTTCTGTCACCTCCCCCCCGGCGGGTGCGTCACTCTGTGGGCGGAGTCACGGTTACAATGAAAACATCTATTTGCCCTCCATACAACATGCAGCCACATTATTGTGCCTGTACAGTTCCCTCCCCTCTTTGCAGATCCCATGCAAAGTTTGAAATTCCCACAAGATGTCCTTAAATTACCTCCTGGTCTATGTAGGCACCCTACCTGTACCTGTTGTCAGCAAATCAACAATAACTGTTAAAAAAATTACAGTAAATAGACCCAGTAGATGTGTGGTGAGCTGATGTGTTTAACACAAATCATAAACTTTTGATTTTGTGTTTTTGTAGTTTTTAACCCCTGAAACCCTTCATGGTCCTCTCTGTCCCATAGGATCCTTCGGTGACGCAGGTGACCCAGTCTGCCCCTCCTGGTGGTCTGGAGGAGTATAACCCCTTCACAGACGCCAGAACGGTCAGCTTTACTAGCAAATAATGTGTTTGTCTGCTTCCTAGTTACTGACCTCATTTCATCCAATTCCCTCTTTCTCTCTTCCTCCTCCTCCTCCTCTCAGTCACAGAGGGTTTCTCTGACAAATTATGACTGTGGCCCAGTTAAAGTTGTGATTCAGGGTCTTTTTTTAGATTGCATGAATATTAACATATCATAACTGTGATGGGTTTACAGGCGGCACCTGGAAATGCCCCCAAATCTGCTCCTGCCCCAGCTCAGAACACACAACCTGCCATCATGAAGCCCACAGAAGAGCCGCCAGCTTACTCACAGCAACAGACTCAGGTACTGCACACAGAAACATGTTGAACGTATACTCGTGTAATTTTCCTTTAACTTTCTTGAAGTTCCTATCATTGTTGTTCATTATAAACACGCTCTCTCTGTTTTAGCTTTTGTTTCACATTTCCTCTTGTCCCTCATATACTCACCTGTTTTCTGTTTTCTACTGGCCCACAGAGGCGTAATGAGGTACTGTCTATCATCTGATGTTTTCCATACATCTTTATGTCACTGTCTTGATAAGTGTGAATGCATTCCATGCCTTTTCCCATACCTCCTGACTTTAAAGCTAGATCAATATTTACTGGGGCTGTCAGCGTTAACAGGTTACTCACAATGCGATAAAGGTCTGAAATGAATGCATTTGATTTTTTAAATTGCGTTGATCTATTTTGTCCCATTGGGTGCACCGTAGCTTAGTCAGCTCACAGACAGCAGTGTCTCCCTGTAAGCACAGTGAATAAAAAAAAAAAACACTTCTGCGCCTCTAAATGGCTCATTTGACATCCAGGTGACTCAGTTGACGAGTTAAAAGTAATGTTCACCTCATGACATCAAACAAACATTTCACTTTTTCACTTTCCTCTTTAGCTGGAAACATTTGGACTACACTACTTTTTTTTTTCTTTTTTTTTCAAATAAAAGCAGTTTTGTACCCAAACAGGAAGTACCCTTAGCTCAAGACAGCACCAAAAACAAAAAGAAAGCATATGACAACCTTTTTTGAAATCCAAAAATAATAAAAATGTAATTAATTTCAAAAAATTGTCCTTTGACAGCCTTTATATTTACTAGAAAGACAAGTGTGTGAACAAACAGTAGCTAATTGCTTTCCCAAACCTAACCCAATTTTTTTATTTTCTCAAACTAACACACCCAAGATCACGAGTGAAAAAAACACCTTCATTACCTACATGATTGTATAATGACTCCTCTGAAAGGCTGGCTGGCAAATTCTAAACTGTTTCTGCCTTGTCTGTGTCAGGACCAAGCACGTGCTCAGGCTGAGCTGTTGAGAAGGCAGGAGGAGTTGGAGAAGAAAGCAGCAGAGCTCGATCGCCGGGAGAGAGAGTTACAGACCCACGGAGCAGCAGGTCAGCCAGTCCATCACTTAGTCGCCTGATAAATTCACTTACCACATTAACCCCGGAGTCTGCATTTGTCATCACCAATCAAAAGAATCGTGACAGTGTTGATGAGACTCAGAATAGGGATGTGTTACCGGTCACATTTTGCAAAACACCCTGACAGAATAAAAGTGAGCTCTCAGAAGAGGAAAAGGGATTTTAATGAGGAATGTGATACTATGGGAAAGTGTCTCAAGTTTTATGACACTGGGAAGAACTCTGCTTGAAAATTGTATGCTAATTTAAAAGTAGAAGGTTTTTTTCTACTAATGTTCACAAATGTTCTGGAAACTTTTAAAGCTATTCCCGCAATTTCAAATGTATTTAAAATAGTCTCAGACATTTCAAAGTTAATCTACATATACTTGTTTAATTATAAATAGTATTAACACTCCTTTAGCTTAGCAGAATGAGCTGGGGGAAAAAAAAAGGATTGTCTTTTTGATTGGCTACTTTTGTTCTAATTCTTGCACGCTCACTTAATATAAGTATGCTTCTAAATATAGTGTTTTAAATTAGAGTTAAAACTCATATACTGTACATTGCCGGGGAAACTACCAAGACTCCCGTGTCTTTGTCCACACAGGTCGTAAGAATAACTGGCCTCCATTGCCAGAGAAGTTCCCAGTCGGCCCCTGTTTCTACCACGATATCGCAGTGGACATTCCTGTACAGTTCCAAAAGACCGTCAAGATCATGTACAACCTTTGGATGTGTAAGTGGCCATTGAAATCCCTGTGAAAACTATCGTTGTCTTTCATTTTGATTCTCTAAATTACTCCTTTAATCAAGTGGGTTTACTCCAGAACACACCTGCCTGTTTTCTTATTTTTAATATTTAAAGACAGACGGATGTGTATTTATTTTGCTGAGGATAAACTATATATCATTATGTTCTTGTCCTAAAATTACACTGAAGGTCCTAATTTTGTTGTTATTTTATTTTTTTTCCCCCATCAGTTCATGCAGGCACTCTCTTTGTCAACATGTTCGGCTGTCTGGCCTGGTTCTGTGTGGATGCATCTCGTGGTATAGATTTCGGCCTGGCCATGCTCTGGTTTCTGCTGTTCACCCCGTGTTCTTTCGTCTGCTGGTACAGACCACTTTACGGGGCTTTTAGGTAAGAAGACACTGAGAAAATTAAACTGACATCTGCAGCAGTCTCGCCCTCAACCATTGTTAAGTGATTACAACCATTACTTTTGATTTTAGAGGCTCGTTCTTCACTCTTCACTTATTTTCTAACCATGCACTTAATAATTATCAATATGGTTTGGCTATATTGGAAGAGCCTGAGAGAAGCAGGGGGGAATAATGCTTAGTGGTGGAAGATAAGTCAGGGACTAAGTTGAAGAAAGTTATTGAGCGCTCATTCACTTCTTCTTTTGTGTTTCCTCTGCAGGAGTGACAGTTCATTCCGCTTCTTTGTCTTCTTCTTCGTCTATATCTGCCAGTTTGGAGTTCATGTTCTACAAAGTATCGGCATCACCGGCTGGGGAACATGGTGAGTATTTGTGCTTCTGCTGATTCTGTACCTCTGCTGATGAGTGTGTACTAAAGTTCACTAATATCGTCATTGTATCGTTCTGCCAGTGGTTGGATTGCAGCTTTGACTGGTCTGAACACCAGTATCCCAGTGGGCATCATCATGTTACTGATCGCAGCTCTGTTCACTGCACTGTCTGTGGGCTCGCTCATTATGTTTAAGAAGGTAAGACAATGACAGAGTACTCCAACATGACTGCATCAGTTGCTATGTAGTGTTGTAGTGAAGACCACATAAACCGAGACCAAGACATATCCAAGACCAGAGGCTCCGAGACTGAGAAAAGACCGTGACATTTAGAGATCGAGACCGAGTCAAGACCATAAATATCACTGATCATCATCATGTTTGCAGCAGGCGTGTCACTCACTTAGACCGTAACACTGGGAAGGTTGCGGCCGTAACCGGGGGGGATAAAAATCGAATTATGAATGAGGCAGTTATTTGTTCTTTTAGAAAGCGGGGTTTCCTTCTAATCACAGTAATGATTTGGAATAATAGCCTATCAGTGATGGTCTGGACCGGCTTTAATTTAAAATCCAGAGTCCGCCCAGTCTGAGATCGAGACAAGACCGAGTCAAAATGCTTTAGATTCTGTGACGAGATCGAGACCTTCAGAAAGTGGTCTTGAGACCAAGACTGATTTCGAGTATTCCAACACTGCTGCTATGTTTAATAGGTGTAAAGAAGGCATGAAGAAGCCATTTTATCTTGAGATGCAGACCGAGAAAAAAAGGCTAAAACACTTTAATAATGCAAATTAGTTGAACATAAATGTTGGAGAGTGGTAAGGCAGAGAGTAAAGTATTGGGGAGTGGACAGACACACTCTTGATTACTAAAGTTGTTTTAAATTAAAATGTGATGAGACAGAAATGAAACATCTACCTTGATCATTGAATGCTTTTGAAAAGGCCTCTTGGTAGATTTACATCACTTGACCTTATTCCAACTAATGTCCTCTTCATTTCTCTCCAGGTGCACGCACTGTATCGCACCACTGGTGCTAGTTTCGAGAAGGCTCAGCAGGAGTTCGCTACTGGGGTCATGTCTAACAAGACTGTTCAGACTGCAGCCGCCAACGCTGCCGCCAATGCTGCAACCAACGCTGCTCGTGGAGCCTTCAAAGCTCAGCCATAAACACACACACACACACACACACACACACACACACACACACACACACACACACACACTTAGACATGCTCTGTCACACATACAAGCTTATAAATACAGTAAGTTGGAGGTGCACAACTCTGGCCCTGCAGGTGATCGGATACATTTAATTCTGTTATTGAATGTTTCGCTCAGATCTCCCTGCGCCCTTTGCTTAAAACTTGCAAAGAATTTTTAAGAGGCATTAAAAACAAGAGTTTAATTAAATAGGGTGACCAGAGTTGTCCTTCTTCAATTAAATGAAGCATTCAGTAAAGAAAAAAAAAACCTCCTACATCTTTCCTTTCTGCTTTTCAGTCCGATGACTGTCTGCTCACAAACCTTGAAACATCCACTAAGTGACTTAGTGTATGTTAGACCTAGTGTTCTGCTCTGAGTGAGTGGGATTTGATCTCAAATTATGTTGCTCCATTCCTCGCTTACCCTGTTCCTCTGTCACCTTGAGGTGATCCTAGGTCAGGCAGAGGTTGCATTTTCTAGCATACCTTGTTTTTGTCACGGTGATGACCTCCGAACAGCCTCCTGCCTGTTTATAATACAGTCATGAAAAATGATAATCGAATTATGGTGTTTTGCACATACTAGTTCTGTTTTCTTGGTCAAATACTGAAAGTACGGTGAATGTTTGAATGGTTGGGCCTGTATGTGAATGTGAACTCTCACTTTTTCTATAATCCAATACTTGGTCACTGAGATCTGAAAGGTAAATTATACCTTGTCCCATATGTGTGCTTCTATCTGAGACAAATATCATCCTGGTAATTTATGAAAAATAAGAATATGTTCTTATGTGAGAACCTGCCCGCCGCCCCTACAGCGCCCCAGTGACACATGTCAGTCAAACAAATATTCACTCTTTGTGTGCTTCTTTGATCGGCAGTGTGGGCTGGGTCGGCATCGTCGCAGCTTATTGAGATTTGGCCGCATGAGAAGAACATGCATGATTAGCACACTTGAGGAAGCGTCAAGTAATTCCGGCTGTTTTTTTTTTTTTTTTGGGGGGGGGGGGGTGTTATTTATTTTCCCTCTGTTTCTGTGAAAAGTGGGCTTTAAAGTTACTGCATGTCCCAGTGGCTATCTGATCGATACAGTTTTGGATTTTTTTTGCGCAGATGTACTGACGACACCCTGTTCCCACCACAAACTTTTAAAGAGGCTCAGTCAGATATTATGACGTCCTGGTGCGCTAATAGGGGAGACAAAGTTAAGATACATTTTCATCTTCATCTTTTTATGTGTGTTTGACACTAACAGACTACTGTGTTGCTCATCTCTTTGTTGTTTTTGTAGCCCCTTACACTCGCTTACAAATCTTAACGCTGCTATAAATCATCTCATGTTTAAAGAGACACATACTGCACCACACAAAGGGGGATAAGTGGCCTGAACTGGACAGCTATAAACCTATGATTCTTAAAAGACGTAACTAGTCCTTTTTCATTATTACATACAGAAAATCATCTCTGTCAGTGAGGGATTACTGGGCTTCAGAAGTTTCAGAGCTGAAAAGAAACATTAAGATAACAGAGGACTGGACTTAATGTACATTCAGTGATATCGCTAAGATACATGAATTCATACAATAACAGTGTTATCCAGCACGAAGCTGTACAGACTACTGTCACAGAAGTGAGTGATGGACATGGGTTACTTTTCTTGTTGTGCTTTAGCATCTCATAGCGGTGGTGAGTGTCTGAAGATGTGCATGACAAGAGGACTGATGACTGATCCTGCTTTGTTCCAAACGTATGATGAACTGAACATTATAGTGGACTAAGTACTCCAGAGATTGTTACACATGTAGAAGTCACCGATTCATCATTGAAAACCATAAGCTGACAGCTTAGTTGGCAGTATTGTTTTTGTTTGAAATTCATTGCACATTTCTTGTTCTATGTTGACCTTAGTGCAAAAGACAAAACCTTTTTATTTATAATGTAATTTAAGTTGTTTGCTTTTCAATTTTGTTGGGTTGGATTTAACATTGTGTATTATGTTTGTGTGGTTTTGTAAAGACATGATCATAGCATCAGCTAGATTGAAAAAGTGTTAAATGACTTATGTACCCTGCGGGAGGAGTGCTTGTGTAGAAGAGGACGTGTGTATGATTGGTATGAAAGGAAAAGGTAAAAAAAAATCTCCCTCAAGTGTTATTCTATGTCCTGAAAAGCTGTGAGAAATCTACCAAAATGTCCATATAGATTTGTTTTTAAATCTTGGTTTGTGATGTGTTCCCTAGCTACGTTTAACGTTAGGATAATACACAACTTTCCCGTGCTACAAACACCCACTCGTTCTCCCGTACATCTAGAGGTCGACACCGTTTCTAAATGAAGCCATGCCACAGAGGGTCATTCCTTGATGTGTCGGGAGAGCTGGTCTGCAACCGTGTTGTGATCTGTGACCATGATTTCACTGAATCAGAGAAGAAAGTCATTCAAAAAGGGACACTTGTATATTTTGTAAAGTTGAACATTTGATCCCCATTATCAATCACATGTAAAAAGAAAATGTAATGCACTCTTGTCTGGCCTTCGTTGCATGTGAAATAGTTTGAGTTTTGTATATTTATGGTATTAACATGAAATAAAATTTGAAAGAAATATTTATGGACTTTGAGAAAACCTTTATGCGATCACATCACTTTTATTCCATTTTTATCCATGTCATTTATTTTATTTTGAAAGTTATTTTTTGGGCCTTTTTTTCTTTGTTGGATAGGAGAGCTGAAGAGAGTTGTTGGGAGGACAGAGTGGGTAATGACGTCCAGCAAAGGGTCAAGGTCAGGTTTGGACCCAGAACCGCTAGGCTATCAGCGCTTTTTACAACATTTTTAACAAAATTCTTAGGATTAGACCTTAACACCAGTGGGTCCCGACTTCTGGGGTTAAGTGACGCCAAAAAAATACCCTTGTCATAGCTCTGAGAATAGAGAGCAGATCACACTAACAGGTTATCATCAAGAACAATAAATAAAAGACCACAGTTTTGTCTTGGAACCCTGATTGGGGGAGAACTGGTTCAAGCCACCATTGTGTATTTTCTACTTCCCGTCTCTAGGTGTCAGTGTTTCCTCAGAAATGTAGTTTTTAACAAGAACTAAGCCTGAAGTTCATCAGGGAAAGGTTGTACAAGTGTAGCACAAATTTACTAAAGAAAGTAGTTTATTGAGAAGACCACAAATGACAGGCTGCAATTCTCCTCACACATTAACTCGTACATGCAGCATCAAACAATGTGCCACCAATGCTGTTACTCTTTTGTTAATATAACAAAAACAGTGGACAGTAAACATCAATTTAAAAGCATAAGACTAGAAATTCTTTATGTATTATAGAAAAACATCCATAGCATGATTTCACTTTTCATCCTCTCAGCCCACTCATTCTTCTTTCTGCAAACACGCCAGGGTTGAATTATTGCACATCTCAACTACAATGAATACAAGCAACCACATTATGTTACATCAACAGCAATGAAATGATGTATTATTGGGGGGGGGGGGTTGAAAACAGGGGACAATATTTAGCAATTTGAAATGAATGAAGGCCCAAGTGCAAAACATGGTATCAGCTGACACTTTAAAAGTGTCAAACAAACAAAGAGGATTTCTCTAGACCGCATTAAGAATATACAAAGCTGACCTATTTCTCTAGAGAAGGCTTGAGTTTAATTTTCAACCACTTGTTTTTGTCTAGTCTGTCTTTACAAAGCTTGCTCCTTTCTGTGTGGTGTGCAATAAGATAACATTTGATAAGCTGTGGTGCAGCCTGCGTTATCTCACTGTGAGCAAACATCCCAACATGAAAGCTCACAGCAGTGTCGGAAGACATCTGGGCCGGTCTCTTGTTATTTTTCTGCACACACTCTGCTGGTTAATAAGCTGCAACGAACCCACAAACAATCCACTTAACAGAAGGAACTCCCTTTAAAGTGAACAATCCCATGAGTGGCACATTTCAAACAGGTAGGTAGACCGTCTGACTGTCCTGCTGTGCAGCCGATTCAGAACATATGGACATTTTAAAAACCACAACAGTTAATGTCTTACACACACAACACAACACGTGTGAGCTGTTGTGGGGTGTTTAAGTGCACACATCTGTTAGTATTCAGAGGTTTGTTGAGGTCTGCAGGTGAACCATGTGAATGAACATTATAATGACGTTACAAACCTGCACACTGCTTTACTGGCAGTGTTAAACTTGTCCACAGTTACACTAACAACACTTGCGCTACCATTTCCTAAGCATTTCTCTATTACAATACAGTGGTTTGTATAAGGTGATACTTGTTATATGAAATATCAGCATCTTGGTCAAAAACACTGAATAAGTGTGCAGGTAACTTTGTTACCAAGGCCTCTATCTTTCAATAATCAGCTGATTTTAACAAAGCAGAATACCCAAAAGGGATGGAATCACTCAGAGAATCGTCTGTTCTCCCTTTACTGACACGTACAGATTTCTATGTAGGAGAGTTTAAAAAAAAAGGATGAGTCCGGGAGAATCCAAACAGCCTCAAAGTCTCAGAGCAGGCAGATCAGACTCTTCCCCTCTTCGATCTCCTCCTGCACTTTATCGCTGGATGTGGCGATCTCAGCCTGAGCAGAAAGGACAGAACACATGAAGGTCGCCAGCGTTCCTCCTATCGCTGTGTAGAACGCCCATCCAAGACCACACAGGGCCGGCCTGAAGGGCGAGGCCTCGGTGCTGCAGTAGCTCTTCACCTTCTCTGAACCCCAGCCAGCAGGGTACAGCATGAGACCGACCATCAGCAGCAGGCCTGGAGGGAGAGACGAGACCATGAGATGAAGGGTTGAGTCACTTACATGTAAACATCAGGGCTGAGAGGACAAACAAGTCCAAGTGCAGCTGGGAACTAGGTGACTCAACTCTGAAGAAGAAAGCATATATCTTTTCAGCTGACAAAAAGAGACCCCCCTTCGATTGGTTACCTAGTCAACAGATCCGTCCAGCCGAACACACCTATCGAAGCCCTTTGTTGAAAGAAACGCGCATAAAGACTGAGGTGAACTTAAAACGTGGAATAGTTTCTGCCAACTTGTAAACTCAGGTGTTTCAACTTGTAAACTCAAAGCAGAACTTCCCCAAAGGCTACGGCATGATTATAAAATCCACAGATATATGCTTGCATAGACATGTTGCACACCTACATTATTTGTAACAGGGTCCCATATTATTAGCATTAGCTTCAGCAGCAATGACGCTAACTTGTTATATAACTTGTCCACGGCCTGGCTTCTTCTGAGCGAATCACAGGACCGTATAGATTTCAAATAATGCAAATGTTATGTTGACTTGATATTTTCCTTTCTTGGCCAGTTTGTTCACAGCTCTTAACCTTGGTATATGACGTATCTAACTTTCTTCCTGTTTATGTCTTTTTTGAAGACTGAATAAACAAAAAGAAAAGAAGAAAATCAAGCAAACACCAACCAATAAGAGTTCAGCTAAACACTCACGCATCTTCATTCAGAGACACACAGACACACAAACAAGAAGTCTGACCTGCGATGGCCTGCAGCAGTCCACAGATGTTGAATAAGCTCTTCTTCAGGATGCTCTGGAAGCACAGGCTGAAGATGGAGATACAGGCCACCACTCCGAGCACTAACGTCCCCGCTGCCAGAAACAACATGGCCGCCTGCCAGAAGCCACTGGCCACTTCCCCAAACGTCCCAGCGTAGGGCCCGCAGCTGACCCCAACCCCTCGTCTGCCGATGCGAAGGCAGCGGCTGTAGAGACCCAAAGACGGCCGGTACTCCCCGGAGTCCACTCCCGCCCCGCTCGCACTGGAGTCCGAGCGAGGGAATCCCAGCAACCAATCAGGGCTCATGAAGGCGATGAGCTCAGCGAAGGCCACCAGGATGCTGAGCAGCGTCCAGAGCATGGAGCGGCATGTTACAATGACATGGCACATGGCGTTTTGTCTTTCTGAGACGGCGACAAGCAAATTCACAAAATAGAATCAATTTTTTTGGAAGCACTTCTAAGCTTTTCCAAGTGTCAGAGCGCTGATATAGAGGAGCCGAAATTCCTTTCCTTACATAGAGAAAGGTCCAGTCGGTTCCCTGTTTGGATCCAGATGTGCAGCTGATGTTATCCTCTCTGAGCAGATGTCAAGCCTACTTTCTTCTTCGGTTTTTCCCCCCTTCTTTTTTTTTTTCTCCGGTCATCCCAAGACGTGCAGCTACAATGCGCCGAAACAGCTTCCCTCCGCCATAATGCTGTTTGAAAAGTAACCCTGCAGAGACACAGACACAGAATCTGTATGAAGTGGGAGTCACTGACGTGCACAAGAGGGGGGAGAGGGAAGAAGAGTGAGCAAGAGTTTAAGAAGACTGCTTTCCCATCCACTATGAATCATGAAGTTAAGCCTCCCACAGAGCGCTACCTCCAATTCACTACCAGCCAGCTGTGTGTGTACCACGAGCAACTATTCCAGATGTCTTTGGAACGGTCGGGATTAGTCACACACACACACACACACACACACACACACACACACAGCTAAAGACAACAGATATGACTGTTACTGTCGTCATTTGATTTGTGATAACTGCGCCTTTGTGCATTTGATTTTTATCTGCAAAATGACTGGAGCCTCGTGTGTCTCACCGCTCAGCAGCTGTCAACACAAATCGGTGAAGCGCTCTGTTACAGCATGCCACATCTGACAGCAGCACACAGAATCACATGCCTGATCGTCTCTGCTGCAGCAAGCACACACATGAAATCTCCACTGGAGCTCCATCATTGCGCTCGCTTTTCAAAGTACCGTCTGAATAAACATATTTTATGCATTAGAGTGAGCGGTTATTGGATTTATTGTAGCCTTTTATTATGTTATAATTGATGCTGAAGCATTAAAAAGAATGTCAATTCTCTGTTCTTGATTCAACAGCAATCAGCAGCACATAACTCGTAACCTGTAACAGATGACGTGTTCGGAGCGATCCTCTAAATCTTCTCTGACTGCATTTGAGAGTTTGTGCATGCGAGTCACTGTTGAAGTGTGTGTCTGAGTGAGTGTGTGTATAGGTCCCAATCACAGTCATTGTTATACTGTTGCTATGTTATGATTGAGTCGTAGTGACCACACTGGCCTGGATACAGCTGTGGTCCCACGGGAGCTCTGAGGTTTCTTAGAAGGCCCCTGATGTCATGATCCTGTGTTATGATACACCCAGGAAAATATTCACGATCTGGTTAAGTTCAAGAGGGCTTTAAAAATAGTTGCCCCAGCCTTGTCCCAAAACTGTGAGATCAGGAAAAGGCCTATCTAACTAAATCACAATAAAAATGTGAAGTGTTTAAAGCTTCTTTCCCTTTTTTTCTGCTTAGATTTTTAGTTTAGTTTAAAATGTTGTTATTTAGAAAGCAGTTATAAAACATTCAATACTACAGATTTGACTACATTTTAGAAGAAAGCAACAAGAAAACACACAAGTTGAAGAGTAAAACAACAGAAAGACATGCAAAAGCCCTTTTATACCTCATCCCAGGGACTTTGCTTCATGTCACTACAAAGACAGTTATCAATGTCATTAAGTTATCAGGACAGGCCACGTATTGAAAAAAGGG